TAATAATATTATAATATTATAATATAATATTCTTTCATGTAATTTTATTTAAATTTGATTAAAAATAATTTAATTCCTGCAAAGAATTTTTATATTTATAAAAATAGTTTAATTGTTTTGAATAATTTATTACAATTTTAGAAAATAATTGAAATTTATGGAAATATTTAAAAATATTTGAATTCATCCGAGAAATTCAATTAAAATTGTTTTGAAAATAATTGAATTCCTGCCAAAAAATTTACTATTTATAAAATTAATTGAATTCTTGTGAAGAATTTTACTATTTATAAAGATAATTGAATTTTTTCGAAGGATTCAAATTCAAATTGTTTTGAAAATCATTGAATTTTTGTAAAGATTTTACAATTAAAAAAAATAATTGAATTGTTTCGAAAAATTTATTAAAATTTTAGAAAATAATTGAATTTTTTCGTGAAATTTAAAAAAAAAATTATGAAAATATGAAAAGTAATAATTAATTTTGTATTTAATAAGTAAATTTTTTAAATTTTGATTATGAAATTATATAAAAAATTTATATATTTAAAAATAAAAAATTTTGTAATTTGCTTAATAATAAATTGAATATTACGTTATTGGAATTTTTCTATATTAATAGTATCTATTTATGAAGAGACCATTTTTCAAGATTCACTTATATAATCATATAAATGCTAATTGAGTGATTATTTCCGCTTTTCGAAATGAAATCCCTCCAGAAAAAATGACCTACTCCCCTTTCTCTAGAAATACAACCCGAAATATCATTAGAATCAAAACTACTACTAAATTTTGGTTAGATTCTCGGTTAACACAAATTCCCTCGAGCACTCACAAACGGAAATTCATTGAGTGATATTCAATATAAATCTGGTCAAATGCCAGTTATAAATTAGAGAATCGAAAATTTGGACGCAAATCAATTTCAAATTTAGATCAAATTTTAAACAGACAAAATTCAATTTTCATTGTTTGATAAAATTTACAAAATTTACAAAATTTACAAATAAGTAAAATTTATAAAATAACTAAAAGGCAATATTAATAAAAAAGGTAATATTATATATTCATAAAACCATTTTCGTATTTTAACGAAAAAAAAAAAAAAAATTTCCTCTACGAATTTGCTGAAAAGAGCTATTAAAAGCTATGTCATAAATGTTGATTCACTGCTTTTGGGATTATACAAAAACCCATTGATCCATGTTTCTCATGGCGCTCATAAATTTAAATTCTATATCCAAACGTCGAGTGGATAAACATTTGGATCAATATACAAAAGTAAATATTAACATAATCTATCTGAATAAATCGGTTAATTGAACTTGAATTTTTCCAAAAATTATCTCACAATATTTTGCATATATTATACTTTCAATTTTTATTGATATTATAAAAAAAGGAATATTTTAAATAGAAGAGGGACTTTTTTTTTTTTTAAACGGACGTTGCCAGTGGGAAATTGACAAGAGCTAGTGGCCAATATTGGACCATGTCCAATGCCAAACCTCGAATTTAAATCAGAATTTCTATAGTGGAAAAAAAATTTCATTTCAATCGAGAATTGAAGTTATTTTATTAATAAAATATTATCAATGGAATTAAAAATAAATAACTTCTGCTGTTTATATAAAGTATAAAGTCTTATTTACGAAAAAGGAAAATAATTATTTACACGGAAAAAAAATTATTTGAAATGAAAGATAATTATTTTAAAAAAAAAATATTCGAAATGAAAGATAGGTAATTATTTTTTAAAAAATAATTTTAAATGAAAAATAATTATTTTCAGTACAAAACAATTATTTCTGTTGTTACTAATCGTTCATTGGAGAAAAATTTATTTAATTCAAATAACCGATATTACTTGTCTATTATCAAACAAATATTTACTTTAATCGACTAATTTTTATTAAAATCAAATTGTATTTAAAATAAATGGAATTTGAACAAATAATTTCAGTTTTTGAAGTAAATATCTATCATTTAATGGACTTAAATAAAAATTATTTGATTCAAAAAAATATTTAATTAATAATAATAGTCTAGCAATCGGTTATTTGAATAAAATAAATTTTTTTCTAGTGTATTAATAGGAATTGTTATATATTTATTATATTAGTTAAACACAGAACTAAATTAATTATATTGAAAGGAATTTTAAAAATGAATTTTTTTGTTAAAAAAAATTTGTTTAAATCAAAGAATTTTTTTTTTGAATAAAAAACCCTCTTTTTGATTCAAAGAAAAATTTAGTTTGAATGAAACAAAAATTTTAAACAGAAATTAGAGAATAAAAACTTCAAATAATTTCAAAAGAAATCCATTAAACTTTTTCAAAAAAAATTAATTCTACACAATTGTTAGTTAAAAGTATAAAAAATTCAGATTTCCAAAAATTTTAATTTGAAAATTTTACGAAAATTCAATTATTTAAATACAAAAATAAATAACTTATTGAATAATTGAATGTTTCTTAAAATTTAAGTCTCATAAAGAATTTTATTAACAAATTTTTAAATAATTAAATTCTTTTGACGAAATAAAATAAAATTTTTAAGAATAATTACATTTTTCGAAGAAATTGAATTAAAATTATAATAAAAAGTAATTAAAATTCTGCAATGAGTTTTATTAATAAAAATAATTGATTTCCTAAAAAGAATTTTATTATTTATGAAAATAATTAAATTTCTAAAAAGAATTTAATTATTTATGAAGATAATTGAATTCTTGACTAGAATTTTAGTAAAATTATAAAGAATTGCATTTTTTGAAAAATTTATGTCAATTATTATTTAAAACGTTAACTGAAAGTCATTTTTAAATAAATTTTTATTAGAAATTCAACGAGAATTAAATTATTTAAATATAAAAATAAATAATTTATTGAATATAATTTAATGTTTCTTAAAATTGTACTAAAAATAATTGAAATTCTGTGATGAGTTTTATTCATATTAATTAATTAATATGAAAATAATTGAATTCCTAAAAAGGATTTTATTATTAATGAAAATAATTAAATGTTTGCGTAGAAATTAGTAAAAAAAAATTCTTTTATTTTTTTTTTTTTGAAAATTTTATTAAAATAATTGATATTTGAATTTCTGATAATATCATTTGTAACTTTTCTAAAAAAATTTAATTATTGTAATGTTTTTAACTAAAATTCATATTTAAATTTATTTTTTATTCATAATAATTTATTAAATTAAATTAAAATTGTATGAAAAATAATTGTAGGTAATTGTGCGTTGAGTTTTTTTTTATTATTGAAAAATCTAAATTCTTTAGAATTTCTAATTAAATTCTAATTCATTTATTTCATTTATTCATTTCTTCCAAAGAATGTTATTATTTATAAAAATAATTAAATGTTTGCGTAGAATTTTATTAAAATTTTTGAAAATAATTGAATATCTTGGGAAGAAATTTTTAAAAATAAAATTATAATTACCGTGACTAACATCCCTTGATTATTTTCGAAAAATTTAAATAAAATTTTTTAAAAGAATTTAATTATTTTTAATGGAATGTAAAGAAATTTGAATTATTTTAAAAATTTCAAATTATTTGTTTCGAAAAATTCAATTATCTTGAAACAATAGAATTGAAAAATTTCAAAAATCTTATTTTTTAGAATTTTTAAAAAAACTTTGAAAAAATTCAATTTTATTAGAAAAATTTAAGTGCGAATCTTTTTTTAAATTAACTAATAAAAATTTTAATTATTAATCTTTGCACTAAGAAACATGAATACATTAGAATGTGACTCTTTATAAAATTCAACTATTTATCAATTTTATTAAATTAAAATACTTTGAAAATTCGATTTGTTAAAAAGTTTTTAATGAAATTCTTTAACAAATTTAATTATTTTATTTATTTTCAGTTGAATTTTACAAAATTTCTATTAATTTGATAATTTTTTAAAAATTTATTTACATACTATATTTGAATCAGTGACTGATTTTTTACTATCTAATTATTTTTAACTAATTCAAATTTAGAGAACAGTACACTGAGAAAACGATGTATTTGATTTAAACAAATTTTGTTTAAATTAAACTTAAAATATCTTTGCTATACAGTCAAACAAATTTAAGTTTAATTCAAACATATTTTTTGGTTCATTCATAGAAATAATATATTTAATTCAAACATTATTTATGGTTGATTTTAAATTATTTATAATTAACTTTTAAGTTTGAATCAAACATAAAATTTTTAAACATATTTTTTGTTTAAAGTAAAACAGAAAATATGTTTGAATTAAATAATAATTATTTAAACATAATTATTAAATTATTTACACATAATTATTTAAACAAATATTATTTTTGAATCAAAGTAGTAGATATTTTCTATATATTGGGATTAAGCTCACAAACTAATTTCAATTAAACAAAATCACTTAAAATTATTTTTTTACTTGAATCGAGTATAATGTCTTCTCAGTGTATAAAATATCTATAAAAATTGAAATAAAAAGCAATTTTTTAAAAACAAATTAAAATAATAAAACTTTTTTTTAATTTGGTGAAAAATTCACGGTTTGGCATAAAATTCCTGGCTTATTCCCGGGTTTTTTCGGTCAAATTAAATTCCATGTTTTTTCGGTTATAGTAGACACTATGAAAGTTGGGAATTTTAATGCTCCTTTGGGTTTTTAAATGATCCCCAAGTTTTGAACGTTCAAATTAACGAAATATTTTTTATTAAAGATATTTTTATGCATTACTAATCACAAAAAAATTTACAAACTGAAATTTTACGTTTAGAAACTCAGTAATTAATTTTTTGGATAGAGATGCAAAATAATTGCAATAAAAATTTAATTTGTTGAAGAAATAAATAAATTTCGTTCATTTGAACGTTCAGAACTTTAGGATCTTGTTTTTAATATTACTTTAATTATAACGACAAAATATTTACGAAGAAATTAATAAATAACTAAAGTAATAGTACAAATAAGAGAATGTAAATGCACTGACCTTCTAAAATCACGACTCCAGCATGCATAGATCACAGGGTTCATTCCACTGTTGATCCATCCCAACCACGTGACAGCGGCGGAGACAATTTCCTCTTGCCAAATGCACTTGCTGCAAAATCCCGACCATAAATTAACGACAAAAAATGGCAGCCAACAAACAATGAACACACCCATAACAATACCAAGTGTTTTAGCAGCCTTTTTCTCCTTGGCGAATTTCGCCAATTTCCTCGATAGAGAAAAATTCTTTCCCATATTTTGCTTATTATTTAATCTCGCCGACGGTAGCCTCGTCAAGCCATTATTATGCAATGCCGTTAAAGGCTCCTCCAAATCCTGCAAATCCTCCGGTGTACTCGACGCCGTGCGAAATAAATGTCTCGCATCCGCATTAGTACCACCACCACGATGTATTCTCAATGTCAATTCCAATTCACCCGAAGCCATCATCACTTGCTTCGTACCCAATTTAAGACTCCTCGTCTGTATCACCGCCGCACGATATATCCTATAATACGTGAACACCATCACAAACAATGGCAAATAAAAACTAATTGTCGACGAGAATATCAAATAGCCCAAGTGCTCCGTGAATGGGCATTTGTCCTTTGGCACTTCCTCAGTTCTCACCGCTCGCCACCACGCTATCGCCGGAAATGATATTGCACTCGAGCATATCCAAACAATGCCAATTAAAATTGCCGCTCGCCTCCGACTCATACGCGTTGGATAAGTGAACGGATCAGTTATCGCCCAATAACGATCCAAACTAATCACGCATAAATTAAGAATTGACGCCGTCGAAAATAATACGTCGAGCGAACGCCACACATCACACCAATCAATAGTGAATAGCCATCGATTTTCCAGCACTTCATAAATTGCACTAAATGGCATAACCACCAATCCAACCAAACAATCGGCAAATGCAAGCGATGTGACAAAATAATTTGTCGCCGTATGCAAATAACGTTCACGTATTACCGCCAATATCACAAGAGTATTACCAAATACTGTTGCCACTGAAAATAGTAATAGAACAATTGCAAGACCAGCACGATCTGTCGCTAAATCCCATAAATTATCATTGTGCACGTTCCATGGTGTGCCATTTATGTTTAAACTTATGTCACTATCATTGCTATTATTGAAACTTGGATTTAGTTCATTTGATATTGATGCCTCTTGGTTGAATTCTCCGAAAAAATAGATCTCACTCTCATTCATCTTAGTTGTGTGAAATCTTCCTTGTTGAGGCCTGTCGATCTTATTTTATGATCGAACTCCTCACCCTCCACTTTTCTTTTCTTTTTTTTTTCCTTTTCACCTCTTCACAATCGCCACAATTTTATTCTTCCACCAATTTCCACTACACTTAATGATTTTTCAATCAGTGATTCGATCACTGATTTTCTCTCCCCTAATCGTTTGCGTGCTCTCTTCTGTTTTCGCATTGTTTTTCCTTTCTTCTTCTAGTCGATATTCCAAAATTCAGTCTCTATTTTGATTCTTTCGTTTCAGTATTTTTTTTTCTTCTTTATAAACTAGTTCTTTGGTTAGAGTTCTTTTTTTTAAAAGTATTTCTTTGGTTAAAGCTTTGGTTTAAACGTATTTCTTTGGTTGGAGTATTCTTTGGTTTAAAAGTATTTTTATTTTTCGCTTTAGCATTTTTTGGCTTAAAAAGTATTTTTTAGTTTCGGTTAAAAAGCGTCTTTTTCGTTTAAAAAGTATTTCTGATTATTTTTGTATTTTTTAGTTTAAAAGTATTTTCGATTTTAGTATTTTTTTTGTTTAAAAGTACTTCCGATTTTAGTATTCTTTGGTTTAAAAGTATTTTTGGTTCAAGAGTATTTCTACAAGTTCAAAATAATTTTTAAAATTATCTTTTAGTCCAAAAGAAGTTTTTTCGTTCAAAAGTATTTTTCGGTTCAAAATTGTTTTTCATTTTGAAATTATTTTTATCAATTCAAATGTATTTCTATCAGACCAAAAGAATTTTTGGTCTGAAAGCATTATTTCTGTTTCGAAAGTGGCTTTTTGATCAAAAATATTCCTTTTTATTCAATATTAATTTGAATATATTTTTAGCTCCAAAAAATTTTTCAAAATTAAAATTCAAAAGTATTTTTAAGGTCAAAAGAAAATTTTAGTTCAAAAGAATTTTTTAGATGAAAAGTATTCTGAATTCAAAAGTATTCTTTCAAATCAAAAATATTTTCTTTCTCGAAAGTATTTCTCTTTTCAAGTTCAAAGGAATTTTTTAGTCCAAAATAATTTTTTAGATCAAAAATATTCTTTCAAAACAAAAAATATTTTTTTCCTCAAAAGCATTTCTTTTAATAAATATTTTTTGTCTCCGAAAGTATTTTTTTTAAAAATATTTTCTGCTTTACAACATTTTCTGATTTAAAATACTGTTTGCTTTAAAAACGGATTTTTTTTGTTAAAAAAAAATGTTTCGGTTTAAAAAGTATTTTTGGTTAAAACAAATTTTTTGACTATTAATTACGAACTTTAAAAGTAAATCATTTTTTTTTTAATAATTTAATTATTACGTCAGTTCAAAAAAAAATTAATTTATGAGTTTCATAGTTATACGGTTTTAAATATTTTACTTTTAAAATCGTATTTAAAATATAATTAAAATTTAAAAAATACTTAAAATAGAAAAATAGTTATTTACAATAGAATTTTAACTTTCAAAGTTTTTTTTTTTTTGATTATTCAAAATACTTTTGAAACTTTCCAGAATTTTTTTAAAAAAATCCTTTTTCTAGTATTTTGCAATAATTTTCTTTCTAGAATAAAATAGAACACTTTTTTGGTATTAAATTTACGTGATAATCTCAATTTTATTTAATCAGTATTTAATTATTATCAATAAAAAACAACTTTTCAAGCAAAAACTTATTTTTATTGATATAAATTTTTTATATTTTTATACCAATTTTAAATATTTGTAAATATTTGTTTATCTTGATTTAATTATGTTTATAAATTTTGTAAAAATAAATATTTTTTTTCTTTAAAAAAAGAAAGTTGAAAAAAAACAAAATAAATTTAAATAACTTTACTTTTTCTCCAGGAAAAGAAATGAAACATTAACAGTTTGTTGAAGCGAAAAAGAAAAATGTAAATTTACTTTTCTTTTTGAGAAAAAAAATTTATATTTTTCTCCCTTTGCGTTTTTAAATAAAGTTGTCTAAAAATTATTCTAGAAAAAAGTTAAATATTCACTGTCTCTTTTTAAATAATTTTTTAAAATTACATTAAATGATTTCTTCTTTAGAATTAAATTATAAATTAAAAATTAAATTAATTAAAAATACTTTTTCAGACTAAAAATTTTCGTTTTGTGCTTTAATACTTGAGTAAACTTCAATTTTTCTCTATAAATAAAAATATGTTTTTAATTATATTTTTTTAAACTATTTTTTTAATGATTTTGAAAATTATTTTTTGAATTATTTTTAAAATTATTTTTTAAATTATTTTTTGAATTATTTTTAAAATTATTTTTAAAATTATTTTTTAAATTATTTTTTAAATAATTTTTAAAAATATTTTTTAAATTATTCTTTTTATTTACTCTTTTTCAATTGTATTTTTTAGTTAAATCAAAAGTTTGGAATATTTTTTAATTGAAAAACAATTTTTTTTTTTTTTGATAAAATACTTTGAACGTGTTTTTTTTTTTTTTTTTGCAAAAATTAGTATGATAAAATTGAAGTTTAAAATTTGTCGTTTTTAAGTAATGTGATGACAAAAATTCACTCTACTTTTGCCATGCTCAACTTTTTGATGAACGATTTTGATATTCACTGAATGAAACACACTCACTGGCATTTTTACACAATGGTTGTGTTGGTGGTGGTGGTAGTGGTAGCGGCGGCATTGCTTTATATCACACACTTCCGGCTTCGTAAGGGCATGACGAGGGTATAAAATTCCGCTATAACCTGAAACACAGAAAGTGCTTGTTTAATTTAATGCAGAGAGAAAAAGATTTCGCTTATACGAGTAGCAAAATTTATGTTTGCTTAACCACACAATTTTTTATTTTTTTCTCATATTTTTGCACAAACAAAATTATTTTTTCCCTTATTTTTTTTCTTCTTTTGCTTTTATTTACTAAACCTTTTTTTCAACATTAAAAACTTTTCTTTTTAACGCTAAACATTTTCTTTCAATTATTTCTTTCACTAAGCAGTTAAATCAACATTTTTTTCTTCGACACTAAACATTTAAAAACAAATTTTTTTCAACAATCCATATTGAGTAATTTTTGTTAATTATAGTCATAAATAGTAAATTATATTTAAATTCCTTTTTTTCAGAACATAAAATTTTTTTCAATGTTTGAATTTGCAGATTTTTTTTTCGGGGGAAAAAAATAAAACGCATTGAAATTTTCTTGTTTTCTACTGAATTGAATAGAAAAAAAAGTATAAAAAAAAATAATTTCGCATTTTATGTATAAAAAATGTTCTCATACTTTTCATTGCATAGAGATTAAAAAAAAATTTGCATCAAAAGCTCTGCTTTTATGGCAAAGCAATACTTTTCTCATCACTTTGCCTTCAGAAGATATCCTTTTGACTAAAACAGGTTTAAAGGCGATTCTCTTATTTCAAGTATAAACCGGTTGCACTTAAGTGCACTTTATGTTCATAAAAAAAAACATTTTTCAAATCCACACGTGTACAGGAAAAAAATTGTATATTTAAGTAAAAATTTATTTCTCCTCTAATTTAATTTATTAAAAAATAATAATTAGTAATAAAAATAATAATTAGCAATAAAAATAATAATTATTAATAAAATACTAATTAGTAATGAAAATAATAATTACTAATAAAATATCAACTTTAATATTTGGTTCCTATCAGAAACGGTTGAAATAATTTTATTATCAAAACCTTAAATTTATATTTATTCCTTTTATTCATTCATTTCATTTTATTCACTATTTCGTTACCGTTTTAATATTTTATCCTCGATTTTATCTCCATTTATACTTTACTCATTTTTATTTGCAACAAATAGGATTAAATTTTTCTTATTAATTTTTTATTTCCATTATTTTTCCTCTTTTTTTTATATGCAATAAATTGCATTTAAAATTTTTCTCATTAATTCTTCATTATCATTATTTTTATTAATTTTCGCAATAATTATTGTTTTAAAAAATTAACATTATCTGGAATAAAAATTTTAATACCCGAAACAAAATAACATTGTCAAGATGAAAGCGTGGATCATTAATATGAATACTTTTCACATATTTATTATTTATTTATCTAACATTAAATATGATTCTACAAATATTTACGATAAGCTAATACGTAATACGATTCTACGAAATCATGGAATTATTCCTGAAAATTAATTACGTGCATAATAAAATTATTGCATATAAACTTTCGTATTATTTCACATAATTATTTATTTATATATATAGATATATAATATGTAGAAATTTTGTAATAAATATTATAATATAATATTTATAACTCTCGACATAATATTATTTAATGCATATTTAAAAAGATAGAATATGTCACATGAGCAAATAAATACACTTGAACATTCCAAAATATTATATGCTTTGTTTACAATTCATTTTGACGTTTAACTGCGGCATTGCTTTATATAGTTTATATGCAAATTACCATCAAGTCTATATGCAGATTTATTAGTATTTTATTCATTTCAAGAATTTCGTGCTTATCTCTCTTAGAATAAATTTTGTTTCAAAGACTGTGCGCGAGAAATTTTAGACATAAACACAAAACAAAAACATTGTATTTGGTGCTGAAAAAACATTGTTTAAAGTTAAAAATTTATTAATTAAAAACAATTATTAAAAAACTGATTAAAAATAAAATAAATTTTTTATTATTTGTTCTATTTATTATTTCTATTGTTAAAAGAATAGGATTCGAATTTCAAGAATTAAAAACCTTCACGTACTTCATATTCAATTCGAGAAATGTGCGCGCGCAAAAGACTGGGAGTGGGGGAATGACGCTATCCCCACTACTCGTTTGCTGCGCGCGCAACCGAGAAAGTAAAAATAAAGTAAACTAAAAGAATAAAAAAGTAAAAAAAAAGTAAAATTGGCTAAAATACAAATAAATTAAATTAAAAGAAAATTATCAATCTTCCAAGTCAAATAAAAAAAAATTTTTTTAACTTGTAAGATTGATAATTTCCTTTTAATTTAATTATATAATTTTAACCAAGTAATAAATTCATCTAAATATATAAAAATTAATTAAAATAGAAGAATAAAAATAAAATAACGAAGAAAATAAAAAATAGAATAAAAATAATTTTGTTAACTTGTTCAAAATTATTTTTCTAAAAAAAAGAAGGTTTATAAAAAAGAAGAACATATAATAGAATAAAATTAATAAAAAAGATAAATTATATATAGTAAAAATAATAAATTAAGCAAATAATAAATTAATAATTAATGAAAACTGAAACAAAAAGAAAAAAAAATAAAATTCCCCCAAAAACATTAAAAACATTTGTTCCCGTTATATTAAACAAATAGATGAATTTACTCTCTCAATAGAGAAAAAAAAGTGTGTGAAAATTTGAACCCATTATTATTCATTTTATCGCACCGATGTTTTTTTTCCGAGGGAAAATAAAAAAAAAGTAGTCAATGAAAAGTATGAAATCAGCATGACATTATTTGTAACGATATTATAAACATAAAAGTTTCATATTTACAACACACACACAAGTTCGATTGTCCATTAACCTACATTGACCTCAAATATTGCCGCTGTTATAACGATGTCATTTTTCGAAAAAAAAAAATTCTTCCTTCTTTTTTCTTCTCTCTTATTTTCGGAAACATAAAAATTATAATAATTGATCAAAAAAGTTTACGAATGGAAAATAACAAATATCCAAACACACTATATTTTATCCCATCACACATATATATACGAAAGCGACTTTCCGACACATAAATTTTGATAAATCCATTAATATCCATAATTGAAGTAAACTTCTCAAATCCCTCAACACAACCGATTAATTAATCATGGATAGTGAAAAAAGATAAAAAAAATTTCCAAACTTTCTATAAAACTTGCTAATAAACAGATTAATCAATCACAAGTGTTATTATTATTTTCATTAACTTACTTTATTGTCTGCTCAAGATTACAGAAAAAAAAATTTTATAAAAGAAAAAAAATGCAAAAACCTTTTTTTAATCGGACAAGAAATTTTCAAATTCAACAAATAATTATTATTTGAAAAAAAAATTATTAATATTAGGAAAATATTATTTAATTGATTCATTGTCTGTCTGAAGTTACAGAAAAATTAAATTTATTGTTATTATAAAATATTATAAAAATCTTATATTATATTAAAATGTTTCCTTCGTCCAGAAAATTTTTCGTTCAACGTTTTCAGCAATATGTACACTAAAAAAAAATATATATATATATATATATAATATTGTTATTATAAAAAATCATTTATTATAAAAAAAAATTAAGAAGAAGATGCAAAATTGTTACAATCCACGATGAATGTTTTAAAAATTCAATAATAATTATTATATAATAAATTTATAACAACAATAATAATAATTAGTATTAAAATATTATAAAATAGTTTCATCGTCTGCCCAATATTAAAGAAACGAAATTTAATTTTGCTCTTAAATCATTTATAAATAAAGCGTAGAAAACAAAATGCTTTTGTTAATCTACCAGACAACATTTTAAAAATTCAATAAATAATTATTAACAACAATATTTGTTCTAAAGAACCATCATTTGTTTTCGACATCGAGAACAGAAAATTTATTATCTCAACAAAATTTAATATCAAATTCTTTTTTCTTTCTCTCTTTCTCTCTCTTTCTCTCCTTTTTTCGATAGTAGATATCTTTTTATTTTCATTTTCACAAATAGTTTTTTACAATACAATCGTTTTAATTTCCGCATGTTAATTAAAAACAAAACCTGTCGAAAACCAATGAAACAAACGAGATTAACGGTAAAATCAATGGACTTTTCAATCGCCAACCCTCTTTATTATTATTATCGTCATTTGTTCTCATTCGCAAATATTATGTGCGCTAATAAATTAATTTCTATATGATGATTATTATTATTATACTATTGTGATCACATAGCCATCACATGACATTTGTGGAACGAAAGAGTTACAACTCTTGCCAAACGACAGAGCATTCATTATCAGAAAGAGAGAGAGAGGGGGGGGAGAGAAAAATGGTATTCAGAAGAGAGAGAGAGAGAGAAATGTCTAATAAATTCTCTCTCGATTACGTGTTATAATATAATAGTACAACAGCGTGAAAAGTTATGACGATAGACAGAGTTTTGAATTTCAGTGATGAAGAGAGAGAGAGAGAGAGAGAGAGAGAGAGAGAGAAATTTCATTTAATTTTTCCCTGATTTCAAAACAGAACTTTGACTTTTTCCCTGACCCTAATGAATATTTTAATTTCACTATAAAAATAATTTTTTTCTAAAACAAATATTTAATCAATTTTTAAAATCTTAATTTTTAAGGAAAACTAATGTTTTCCTTAAAAATTAAGATTTTCAAAAATTTCAAATTTCAAATCCTTTGAAAATCAATTAATTTATAAAAATTACTACTGTAACTTATTAAAAAATATTTTCAAGACTTCAATTCAATTATTTTCTACATTTTTTAACTAAACTTCTTCCTTATTCAATTATTCTTAATTTTAATTTTTAGAAAATTTATATCATCATTTTTTCATTCAAATGAAAAAATTTATTTATTTTCCACAAATTTGAGTTAATATGTAAAAAATTTTCTATTTCGATAGATAAAATTTTCGCTAATTCTTGTATTTGGTATACTTTTTATCATTTTTGTAAATTTTAAAATTTTTATAATTTTGAATCAGAAATAATTTAATTTTTAC